TAATTACATAGAAGACGTTCTCGAAGGGTCTTGTGTGCAGCTGGTCTGCACTCATACTTCGACGGAGGGTAAGGTAAAATCCTTAATTAATAAAATATTCCACATAGCAGTACTAACCATTGACGTGGGAGTAGCACGTTGGTTAATTAGAGAATTTGTGGATATCACTGAATTTTAATGTATAGGATAGTATCCGGAGATAGGGAGTGAGAATAATGGTAATGTAGCCTAATTAGATGTTACTGATTATTATTTGCTTTAGGAACTGTTCATGTATTACAGATCTGCTGACTTTTTAATTGAGATGGTAGACCAAAATAAAGAATAATAGATTGTGTAGGTGGATTTCAGTAAAGTGTTTGAGAAAGTTCTTCATAAAGACTGTTAAAGAAAGTAGAAGCACACATTAATAGACGAAATTATCTCCTGGTTCGAAGCTTAATAATGGCAAACAGTAGTCCACAAAAATGGGGGGAAATCAGAATGGGGACCCTTGACCAGTGGTGTTCTTCAGGGTTCAGTAATGGGCCCCTTGTCGTTCACAGTTTACGTATACGACAAACTAGGGTATAAAAACGACATAACCTCTTTTGCCGATGACAGTGATATACAGGCCGTAAAATAAACTCTGATGACACTAGAGATGCAGGATAATATGGAGAACTGGCAGATGAAGTTAAATGTAGACAAATAAGATTTTAACTCGTGAAAAAGAAAATAACTATGGAGCATAATATAGGATCACAGTCAAATTGAATGCGATAATGACTTGAGACTTCTGGTTAGCATAAATCTAAAGACAACACTATAAATACTCGCAATAGCTATGGCAAGGCCTCGTTTAGATTATACTGCTTATGCTTAGATCTGGTCTCCATATTTCAGAATGGATGCAAATGCACTGGAAAAATACGGAGGATTGTGAAGTTGATCCTCTGTAGCAGAAATGCTTCTTATGAGGACAGGCTGAAGGCACTGAATTTACAGTTTCTGGAAAAGCGTAGAATTGAGGGATATTAAATAAATAGGATATAAAATAACTTGCTGAAAATATCTAAGACTGAACTCAGAGCAGTGTATTGAAGTTAAGCAAATTCAGACCTAGAAAGGATATAGGAAATATCTGGTATAGTAACAGAACTGTGGATGAGTTGAGCAAACTCTCATAGAGGCGAAAAATTTGGGTTGCTTAAAAGATAGTTTGGACTGATACACTAAGGGGTGTGTGTGTGTGGGTGGTCGTCGAACCTGCTTAGTATAAGCTGATATTAAGTTTTCATAGCCATATGTACACACAATCGTATAATAAATTATTTCATGATGATGTGCGGTATAACGCAACTGTATCGGGTGACAAGCTGGTCGACCTAGTGAGATTAACTGGTAGTATAAGGCAACTTAATGTGCACTTGTTTTACACTTCAGTTTTACAGGCTAAGAGTTCTTATCCCACATCAGCTCGTTTCAAAGCCCAACCCTGTCTAATTTATGCTATCACCGCCCAGGATGAGACCCACAACAGTCGACTAACACCCAGGTACGTACTTGCTGCTAGATGAACAGGGGCAGCAGGTGTAAGGAAACATCACGAAGCGAACTTAATAAGGTTGTCTTGTGAGTCTTCACTAGAGTGAACTCGCCTGTCGTGAAGTACGCACTGATAATTGCCTAGCTAGTTATATTCATTGGCCACTTTATTAGGTACACTCTTCTAGTACTGGGTAGGACCCTTCCTCTTTGCTCCCAGAACAGCCTGCATTCTTCGTGGCATGGATTCAACAAGGTGCTGGAAACATACCTTAGAGATCTTGGTCCTTGTTAACATGATAGCCTCACACAGTTGCTGCAGATTTGTTGGTTGCTGCCAGTCTCCCGTTCCACCACATCCCAAAATTTTACAAATTCTGATTCTATCATCTGCATGTCGCAGCAAAAATCTTGATTCATCAGACCAGGCGACGTATTTCCAGTCTTCAATTGTCCAGGTTTGGCGAGTTTTTGCCTACTGTAGCCTCAGTTTCCTGTTAGCTGACAGGAGTACAACCTGGTGTTGTCTTTTGGTACTGTAGTTCATCCACTTTAAGGTTCGATGTGTCGTGCGTTCATATATGTTTTTCTGCTTACCACTGTTGTAATATGTGCTTATTTGAGTTACCGTCACCTTCCTGTCAGCTTGAGCCAGTCTGGTCATTCTCCCCTGACCTCTCTCATTAACAAGGCGTTTTCGCCCACAGAACTGCTGCTCACTGGATGTTTTGTTTTTCACACCATTCTCTGTAAACTCTAGAGAATGCTTATGAAACTCCCAGAAGATCAGCAGTTTGAGATATTCAAATCGCCCCGTCTGGCACCAACAATCGTTCCACGGTCAAAGTCAATTAGAACACATTTCTTCCCCATTCTGATGTTCAGTGTGAACAACAACTGAACCTTTTAATCATGTCTACATGCTTTTAGACGTTGAGGTGCTGCCACGTGATTTGGTAATTAGATATTTGCATTAACAAGCGGGTGTACCGGGGCAGAACACTTTTCATTAGTTTTAACTTAATCTTACTACACCCAGAGGTTATTAAATGAAAACAAAGCATTTGTCTGTATAGCCAGTATCAAACCTGAAGAACTGTTGAATTAGTCGTTGCCTTTGTTTGTAGTATAGTTAGCTGCGATAACAAAGATTCTTTAATTTCCCAAATTATCCTTACACCAGAGAACTAAAATGTGACTTAACTAACGAGCTTAGGAAACACGTCGAGGAGGTCTGTTGTTGGAACCGTCGGGCGTCTTGCTAGTAGACCTCTTAAATTATTTTTTTTTTTTCGTCCCCAAGACAATATCCTAAACACTGGTCGAGGATGATGTGTTCTGGTCTGTAATACTGTAAGCTCTAACTCGTAATTAAATTGTAACACGGATGATGTCTCTCAGCTGACACACTCGCATAGCTGTCTTTGTTCGTCTTTGTTCTTCGTTTTTATTTACAGTGTTTTAAAATGATATTTGAAAAAATGTATTTCCGTCATGTCATCTTTAGGCCTCTCTCACGCCCCAGTATTTTCCCTCTTTATTTCGAACTAGCGAGGATATTTACCCTTGTCAAAATTGTCTGCGGATTTACTGTTAATGACATGGAATGCTTACGCCGCCACCGCTGGTGAAGCCGCCACCGTTCTCTAAAGATTTTTATACAAGTTTTGAACTGTAAAGAACAAAAAGGCACAATACCGTAACTGGAACAATACACAAATAACCCGCACACAGGAGAGAGGAGCTAGCGACGATGTTTCGGTCCGACTTGGACCATTTACAAAATCACTGTGATTTTATAAATGGTCCAAGTCGGACCGAAACGTCGTCGTAAGCTCCTCTTTACTATGTGCAGGTTATTTGTGTATTGAACTGCTGTACACTGACTTTGGTCACTGAGGCTGACACTGTTACCAGTGATACTGATGATATAGCCATTACTTCACTCTGCTGCTAATGTGGCAGCCTCCATCGCCGCAGTTGTAAGACCTCCAGTCTGTGGCGTGGATCACGACCTGCTGTAAGACCTCCGGTCTGTGGCGTGGATCACGACCTGCTGTAAGACCTCCGGTCTGTGGCGTGGATCACGACCTGCTGTAAGACCTCCGGTCTGTGGCGTGGATCACGACCTGCTGTAAGACCTCCCGTCTGTGGCATGGATCACGACCTGCTGTAAGACCTCCAGTCTGTGGCATGGATCACGACCTGCTGTAAGACCTCCAGTCTGTGGCATGGATCACGACCTGCTGTAAGACCTCCAGTCTGTGGCATGGATCACGACCTGCTGTAAGACCTCCAGTCTGTGGCATGGATCACGACCTGCTGTAAGACCTCCACTCTGTAGCATGGATCGTTTCTTATGACTTTTCTTGTTATGATTAATTATGTTTGTGCATTAGTTCTGATAACCACAACTGTTGTTAGGTTTAGAATTTTCTTGGTCGTGTTTTTACATGTTCTCATAACACTCAGGAAAGACTCCTTGATGCTGGTGAAAAATGTTTCTCCAGAATGTGAAATAATAAAGGTGGAACTATTGTCAATGTGAGGTGAAATGATACAAGTGAAACTAAGGTGACATTTTACTGCGGTAACGTTTCGCTCTCCATGAGCTTTGTCAAGCCGACTTAACAAAGCTCCTGGAGAGTGAAATGTTGCTATTGTAAAATATCACATTAGTTGTATGTGTCCTCTTGCCTAACAAGAACGTGTGTAGCCAATGCAAACAAGAACCAGGTCTTGTCTTGTTTCTTCCCGAAAATAGTGCAAAAGAAAAATTTACCCCTTTTGGGGTAATTCATTCTTTTGCACCTCTCTGTAGGCGGTGACAAGCATCAGTACGAGCAATACACAACCCGCACAGAGCATGCGTATTTAACACACTTGATCAAAAAACTACTGGTCAACCAGTAGAGTTTTGATAGTGTGTGTTAAATACGCCATTTGATATCTTTCCATATCTCCAAAGGAATTGAAGCTACCTTCCCCTGCCTTGAATTAAACTTCATTTTCTTCCATTGCGTCGACGTCGTATGACTCCTACAGATTAATAGTTTCCCAGTGATTACAATATTAATGCGCCCTTCGGAAGTTTTATTTCAGATAGATGAAACAATTCAAACAGTTTTTTAAGATCAGTTTATTCTACAGGACCGTAATTAACGAAAGTGAGCGACCGATACTAGAAATTTGATGTATTAATCATCACTGAAAACTCGGAAATCCTGTATACAGGATTGTTAGGCATAGCTCAGTGGTCTTGTTGGAGGCATTATGTATCGTATGCCGGCGTTATGGGGGGGGCACAGTGACAGACAAGCTGAGGAGGGGGTGATAAAAAGGAGGAGAGGGGGAGCACGCGTGGCCCGCGGGGGAGGGGCTGGGGTAACTAAAAATACCCTTAGCAACCCACTAACCCCACAAAGTGTGGTTCTCACACCGCCCCTCCGCCCTCATGCTACTTGGGGCGCCGCCGACACTAGTAGAACGACCCGGGACGTCTGACGGAGCACACCGACCCTCCACACACACTATACTGTCCGAACACTGTACGTTGTGAAGTGATAGTGACGGCAGCTGTGACCTGTAGCTCTCGTGCGAGTTGTGTTATGATGGCTGCCACCGAGCCATCACCAAGGCAGTGCAGATAGCATAATACAAAAGCCAGTTGGCTTCTGTTCCGTTAACAAAAAGGTTAGTGACAAGCAGGTCTGGGTTGAAACTTCTCCCAGCTACCACCGCGTCCGCGCCCCTCTCCCCTCCTCCGTCCAGAATAGACCTTGGGGAAAACCCTTTCCGCTGCAGGAAGTAGTGTTGCCCCTAGGCCCGGCCGGCGCCCCAGGGCCACAGTGCCACTAACCACCACGGCGGAAGCCTCGCCCAAACCTGCAGCAACTACTAACACAAGGACGAGAACACACACTCAGGCAAAGGACAGGAGGACCACTCAAGGTACCCTCGCTAATGACGCAAATTTCCTCACAAAGTCGCTGCCACTCTAACACATTGATTTTGTATTATTATATTGCTTCTGAGACATGAGTACAGCATAAACATGAAGGAATAATATGTCAGCACATTCCTAGGTGCTGGTGGGAGGGTTTGTCTTTATGGTCCCCAAAAATCGAGTGTTTTGGGGATATTCCACTAAACCTAGTCTTTATATTGGTGTTCTCAAAAACTATGGCCCCCTCCCTAAATCTGGGGCAGAGACTAGGGTCAAGATGGGTCAGGGCCAGTAATGACAGCCAAAAAACAACGGGGATTCCCCCTACCCACTCTTGCCCACCTTGACCCTCCTTACCACACACACACACACACACACACACACACACACACACACACACACACACACACACACACACACACACACACACACCACACACACCACCCACACACACACCACCACACACACACCACACACACACACACACCACACCACACACCACACACACACACACACACCACACAACACCACACACACACCACACACACACACCACACCACCGACACACACCACACGACACACACCACCACGACACACACCACAAAGACACACACCACACGACACACACCACACGACACACACCACACGACACACACCACACGACACACACCACACGACCCCACACCACACGACACACACCACACGACACACACCACACGACACACACACACGACACACACCACACGACACACACCACACGACACACACCACACGACACACACCACACGGGCACACACCACACGACACACACCACACGACACACACCACACGACACACACCACACGACACACACCACACGACACACACCACACGACACACACCACACGACACCACACACACGACACACACCACACGACCACACCACACGACACACACACCACACGACACACACACCACACACACACCACAACACACACACACACCCACACACACCACCCACACACCACCACACACACACACAAACCCCACACACCACCCACACACCACCCACACCACACACACCACACAACACACACACACACACACCACCCACACCACACCCCACACCACACACACACCACACACACACCACACACCACCACACACACACCACACACACACCACCACACACCCACAACACACACCAACCCCACACACCCACACACACACCACACACACACCAACACACACACTCCACACACACAAACCCCACACACACCACACACACACCACACACACACCACAACCCCACACCACCCCACACACCACACACACACCACACACACACAACACACACACACACCCCACACACACCCACACACACCACACACACACCACACACACACACCACACACACAAACACACACAAAACCACACACACACACACCACAACACACACACCACACACAAACCACCACACACAACACACACACACACACCCAACACACACAACACACACACACACACACACACACACCACACACACACACACACACAACACACACACACACCACCCCAACACACACACACACCCAACACACACACACACACACACACCACCACACACCCACACCACACACCACACACACACAACCCAAAACACACCACACCCCACACACACCACACACACACACCCAGCAAACCACATGGTTTCAGGGACGGGAAATCCTGTGTCACAAACACTACGGAGTCTATGACATGGTGACAGCAGTAAGACAAGAGAGAGAGGGATGGGTGGATTGCATTTTCTTGGACTGCAAGAAGGCGTTTGACACAGTTCCACACAAGGATTGGTGCAAAAACTGGAGGACCAAACAGGGATAACAGGGAAGGCACTACAATGGATAGGGAATACTTGTCAGGAAGACAGCAGCGGAGTAATGGTACGTGGCGAGGTGTCAGAGTGGGCACTGTGACCAGCGGGGTCCCACAGGGGTCAGTCCCAGGACCAGTGCTGTTTCTTGTATTTGTGAACGACATGACGAAGGGAATAGACTCTGAGGTGTCCCTGTTTGCAGATGAGTGAGTTGATGAGAAGAATCACTCGATCGAAGACCAGGCAGAACTACAAAGGGATCTGGACAGGCTGCAGACCTGGTCCAGCAACTGGCTCCTGGAGTTCAATCCCACAAGTGCAAAGTCATGAAGATTGGGAAGGGCAAAGGAGACCGCAGACGGAGTTACAGTCTAGGGGGCCAGAGACTACAAACCCACTCAAGGAAAAAGATCTTGGGGTGAGTATAAACCCAGGCACATCTCCTGAAGCGCACATCAACCAAATAACTGCTGCAGCATATGGGCGCCTAGCAAACCTCAGAACAGCAATCCGACATCTTAAAAAGGGAAAATCATTCAGGACCCTGTACACCGTGTACGTTAGGCCCATATTGGAGTATGCGGCACCAGTTTGGAACCCACACCTAGCCAAGCACGTAAAAAAACTAGAGAAAGTGCAAAGGTTTGCAACAAGACTAGCCCCCAGAGCTAAGGGTATGTCCTACGAGGAGAGGTTAAGGGAAATCAACCTGACGACACTGGAGGACAGGAGAGATAGGGGGGACATGATAACGACATACAAAATACTGAGAGGAATTGACAAGGTGGACAAAGACAGGATGTTCCAGAGATTGGACACAGTAACAAGGGGACACAGTTGGAAGCTGAAGACACAGATGAATCACAGGGATGTTAGGAAGTATTTCTTCAGCCACAGAGTAGTCAGTAAGTGGAATAGTTTGGGAAGCGATGTAGTGGAGGCAGGATCCATACATAGCTTTAAGCAGAGGTATGATAAAGCTCACGGCTCAGGGAGAGTGACCTAGTAGCGATCAGTGAAGAGGCGGGGCCAGGAGCTCGGACTCGACCCCCGCAACCTCAACTAGGTGAGCAACCTCAACTAGGTGAGAGTTTCACACCCCACACACCCACCACCACCCCCACCACACCACCACACCACACACCACACCACACCACACACACCACACACACACCACCACCACACCACACACACACCACACACACACCCACACACACACACCACCCCACCACACACCACCCCACACACACACACCACACCCCACACACACCACACACACACACACCACACACACACACACCACACACACACCACACCACACACCCCACCACACCACACCACCCACACCCCAACACACCACCCACCACCACACACCACACCACCACACACCCCCCACACACACCACACACACACACCACACCACACACACCACACACACACACACACCACACACACACACCCACACCACACCACACCACACCACACCACACACCACACACACCACACCCCACACACCACACCACACACACCACCCACACACCCCACACACCCCACCACACCCACCAACCACACACACCACACCACACCACACCACACACACCTCCACACACCACACCACACCCCACCACCCACACACACCACCCCACACCACCACACCACACACACCACACCACACACACCCACACACACCACACACACACACACACACCACACACACAACCACACCACACACACCCACACACCACACACACAACACACCACACCCCAACCACACCACACACACCACACCACACACACACACACACACCACACCACACACATCCACACACCACACACACATACCACACACCCACACACCCACACACACACACACAATACCACACACACCACCCCACCACAACCACACACACCACACACACAATACCACACACACACAACCACACCACACATACCACACACACACATACCCACACCACACCACACACACCACACCACACACACACACACATACCCACACACACACACACTACCACCACACACATACCTCACACCAATACCTCACACACACACCACGCACACCACAACCCGCACACACCACCACGCACACACAACCACGCACACACAACACGCACACACACCACGCGCACACAACCACACACACCCATACCACACACCCACACACAACACACACACACACACTACACACCACACACACACACACACACACCACACCACACACACACACACACGCCACACACACACACCACACACACACACACACCACACACACCACACACACCACCACACCACCACACCACACCACACACACCAACACACACACACACACCACACACACACACACACACACCACACACACCACCACACACCACACAACCCCACACACACACACACACCACCACACACACCACACACACCCCACACACCACACCCACACCCACACACACACCACACACACCACCACACACACACACCACACACACCACCACCACACACACACACCCACACACACACACACACACCACACACACACACACACCCCACACACACACCACACAACACACAACCACACCACACACACACCACACACACACCACACACACACACACATACCACACACACACATACCACACACACATACCACACACACATACCACACACACAACCACACACACCACACACACACACATATATACCACACACACACACTATACCACACACACCACATATACCACACACACATATACCACACACACATATACACACCACACATATACCACACACACATACCACACACACACACACACACACATCCCACCACACACACATCCACACACACACATACCACAGCACAACACCACACACACACACACACACACACACACACACACACACACACACACACACACACACACACACGTACGTACGTATCACTGTACGAACGGAGGCCTGAATCTATTTCTCGTGCTCTGACTGACCCACATAAAGATAATATAATGAGCAAAGCAAATAATCATAATCTAATAATTTAAAGGAATATTAAATGTTACAAATTTCCAATAAAACTTATAAAGTGATGAAATAATTTGTGAAAGGCACCACGAACATAATTCTTGGTGTCTTAAGATACAT